GGCTGTGCGACTTATAAGACTAATGGCGTCCCATTGCCCCATCTTTGATCACTAATTATAGCTCATCTGGTTTGGGAATGCAAATCCATTACATTTGCATAAATATCAATACCATATTATTATTGTAGCTGCAGTTGGCCGTGTTATTGCGAATGTATTTGCATAGGCCTTATCGATGGTTTTACCTGGTATTTTACCCCATGCTACTCAATATGGACACTTGCTGCTTCATTTATGGCCAAGGCATTGAATATACACAAATATTTCTGTTTCTTTTTGCGTTTCTTATTATTTTGCTTAACCGCACGCGCTTCGTTTACAAAATGCTTTGTTTTTGTTTAAATGCAAAAATTGTTTCTATTTTTGTTTTTTCTTATTTTATATTTTAATTTTTTTTTAGGTAAACTTTCACTCACAACAAAGAAATTAAATTTATTATTATACAAATTTTAATACAAAACAAAGGAAGAAAATAATTTTTTTCTTTTGGCTTTTTGCTATTTACCTTTTTCCTAATATATTTGGCTATTTTTGATAACTTGATCGGCTTGACGCTCATTTTGGCGACGTGCTTTCGTTTCTGTTTCTTTAATTTGTCTGCTTTTCTTTTATGTAGCTGCTGCGGCTGATGCGACTGTTCGTTTCTTGGGCTCTTCTTCTTTTTGGTAAGGTAGCAAAGGCGTTGCTAATTTTGGATACGCTCTTTGATTGGCAGCACGGTAATTGGGCCAAGAGAGCGCTACATCCAAGGCAATTGAGCGCATATGCTGAGATTTCAGATTTATAAATGTGTCCAACATATGTGTGAGCTTTTAGTTAGGGCGCCTGCAGATTAACGGCAGCGCGAGAAAATGCAGTCACATCTCAAGCTCCACTGGGGGACATCTGTCAGAATTTAACACTTTTCGACAACAGCACAAAATTGTTATGCACACAAAAGAAACGACGATAAGAAAGACAACGACGAAAGAAGAGGTTGATGATGACGACGACGACGGTGACGACGGAGACGACGACGACGCTTCCCGCGCTTGCGACTGTGCGGCTTGAATGTGTTGCGAAAACTAACACAGAAACAGCCCACAAGCAAGCCCAATGCTCGAAGCCGTCGACGTTGCCGTCGCCGTCAAGCTGTCGAGCGCCAACAACAACAACAACAGCAACAACAAACGTGGCTCAACAGCCGCGTCGCGATGCTTCGCTGATAACTTGTCTAGCGGCAGCCGCAGCCGTCACATGCAATGTGGCACCACATTTTGGACAGCAGTGTAGCCTAAGCCGCGTGCGTTGCTTTTTTCTTTTACACACTCACGCACACATAGTCATATGCTGTGCAACTTAGTTGATTTCCATAGCTTTTGTTTGCTTTGCTGTTTTACTAGACTCACACACACACACACACACACACACACACACACACACACACACACACACACACGCACGCACGCTTACAAGCACACATAAAGAACTTAAAATATTTGTGCTCTGCATTTCAATTACAGTTGATTTAAGACCTGCAACGCATTGACAACAGGAAAGGGACAGCATGAGGCAATGCAGAAAGCAGCGCTGTTAAATTTGGCTGTGGAATGCGCTATCTATTCACATCGTTGGAATGTACTAGAAAAACTGGGCAGCATTTTTGGAGTTTGACTGGAAATCGAAAGTAAAACCAAATGGGCAGCACTTTTATGCTTGAGGCGAACTAATGGAGTGTTCGTAAACATGTTTGACTCTTAAGAGGTATAAATGAAAAAGTCGACATATTAAATATTAAAGCTGCTTAATATGTTAACAACTTTTACTATCACAGTGCTCTGCACGTTTACTTAAAGTTTAACTGGGCAAACGTGTGCTAAAAATAAACGTCAAAAGAAGACGATCGTCAAATCGTGTTGACCATGCTTACAGCATTTTTAAAGACTAAGCCACACCTTTCGCACACCTTGCGACCAACAAAGTCGTTTAAACTCTGACTTAAGTGAAGTACTTATAAATAGATACATATACATACATATGTATTAAATATATGCAAATACACGCACAGCAAAAATATACATATATGTTTGTTAATTACTTCATTAAGGGAAAATACGCTATAAAAACTTTTAGTTAGTCGTATATCCAAAATTACGAAATATTATGCAAATGCGGCACTTAAAATAAAGATTACTAAGCATCTGAACTCAATTGCCGCCAAGATGTGGATGCCGTAAAAATTCATTGAGACTAATTGATCAAACAAGTGCCTTATAGAGACAGAGAGAGGTATGCATATGCATGCACATACAGACAGACAGATACGAATATATCCATATCTTTCCGATATGTGTAGATACTTGGCAATTAATGCACTGAAATGCGTGGGTGTGGGCGTGACATGACCTGACAAAACAACAACTGAAATTGCCAAATGTACAAAAAACCGGATGGGACTTGGCAAAATAGATGTTTAGAATGTTGCAGAAGCAACAACAACAGCAACAACAACAATAACCGGCTAAATGGCAAGCGCTATAGAATAAAATTGAATAAAACGTAATTGGTTTAAACAAATAATTAATTGTTTACTTTGTATACAAACTGAAATTCAAAATGAATTGATCTGCATAATATATATAAACTATATAGAGATACTATATATATATATAGATATAAGTTCAACTTTAATGAATCTGCCGATCGGCCTTTGTTTGTGGCTCATTCGCTCATTTGTTCTTTATATGCAAATTGCCGCTTGTTGAGCGAGTGAGTTCAGCATTTGGTTATGTTTTGAGGCACACGCTCGATTTGCCAGTTATTGAGCCACAATAACAACAACAACAGCAACAACAATAACTATAACACATATAATGAAACCGGTTGATGATGCTGCGATGCGAGCAGAAACTTGTCCACTTATAAACAATAAGCTATAATATCATATAATATGCACATACAAATACTATATATAAAGCTCTATATATAAATATCTGCATATATTTGTAAGTTATTTTCATTTAGATCTGCCTATTTTAGTGACCTGCTTAATTCTTGATCAAAAACATTTCGAAATTTGTAGAAGAAACAAGCTAAATTTTAAGGTAACGTGTTTACAACTGATTTACATATAAGTCTATATATATATATATCAATATTATAGATATAGATCTATCTATATAAGTATTTCTATATTTGTCTCATTTCTATATTTCTTATCACGAAATTGCAATTATTTCCTTTACTTATTTTGTTTACTTGATTYAAGCTCAAACATGTCTATACTATATATACATATATAACTGTATATATATATAGTATATTTTTAAAAGCAATCAAAGATAAGCCCAAATTACGCAAGTACTTAGCGCGAGTTGAACTTAATCTGTGTCACACACGAAATCCCATTAAAATTGCAAACCGCAAATTTGGAGAGATTGAAGAACCGTTATCTCTCAAGCAATCAATGCAACCCTATATAGTAGAAGCCGGACCGATAACCTCTTGAGCTAGGCTTTTTTTTTCTTGGAATTCTCGTCCGTGAATTCTATGGCTTATATAGATTTATATTTACAGTTTATACTATATCCGCTAATGAGGAAACAATTTGTTATGATTCCGCTATATACAGTCCTCTATATATATATTTACAGCCGATGCGGGAAATACTTGGCGTACAGATAACAGACATCAGGGCTGAGACAAGGCTGATTAACAGATTTTTTTTTCGTATATTTTCGCTTGTTTGTTTATTTGTTTTATTAAAAAGAAAGCAGCGTTTGCTATGTTTCATAATTTATCGTATGCTAGACAAAATATTACTCATACGACATGTGAAACGTGCATTTATAGATATTGATATATAAGTATATATAATCTAGCGACGAGACGCACGCTTATTGGGTGAGAAAAACGTGTGTAGCAGCATGTTGTGAAATTTTATAGTAGTAAACACAAAATGCGCTAATTATTCAATGAATCAAGTCAGCCAAAGTATTCCGACTATTTTTGATTAACTCGAGACGAAATTAACTATGCAGATGTTAATTAATAAATGAATAGAGCTACTATAAGTTTAAAGGGCCAAGGCTGTTTGCAGACTTTGATATATTATAGTTGTATTGTATGTGTTATATAGAAAACACGATTGATATACGACTTGTAGTCAATTATTATACATTTTCTATACATACATTCAATATGCGTTACACCAAGTTCATTCACCCATATGCGCGTCATAAGATTGTAATGAGATATTGGCATAAGCCAATCTCAACTTGGTTAACAGCAGAAGCCGAAAAAGTGTTGGACAAATCAAGTTATGCCGTCAATAAGTTGGTCTTTAATCTATCAAAGATATACACAATTCACTCCTCTCCATCTAACTTATTCAGCAATAGATTACATTTCTTAGGAAAGTTTTTCAATTCACAAAATTTTTATGAAAAGTTGCCAAATATGAGAAAATTTGCTTTCGAAAAATGTGTGAAGAAATATGGGTAAAAATGTCAATTTTTCTTGCTCGCTGAGCCAATGCTAAATGAACCAATGAATGAATGAACCAATGAACAAATGAACCAATGAACTAATGCAACAATGTGTCAAACATATAGAAACTAAATTGAAAGAATTTGTGTGCCACACATATAAACACACACAGACATAGACAGGTGCTGGAAAATGTGCCAAGAAAAACAAGATTTTTTTTTTTGTGGAAAGGAAAATCAAAATGATGCATAAAGTGTAACTGGTAGTATATAATTAGACTACAGAAGAACCAAACAAAATCGAGCGAGCCATAAAGGAAAAACAACAAAAACTGAAAAATCAATTGTTCTCATTTGTAATGGAAATACACAAAGAAAATGCACATAATTTTCACACAAGTTTCAAAGGTGAATTGTAAATAGTTTTTCATTTGGGTTTGTGTGTGCTTTGGTTTTAGTTTTAGTTTTTGTAATTGTTGAACACAGTTTAGTTTAGGTGGAAGAATTGGTATTAAATGGTTTTTTATTCCTAACCTCGCCGCCCAACAATTCCAAATCATGCGATGCGGCATGCGAAGCCGTTTTAATGATCTTGTAGGTCTTGGCGAAGGGCGCCTTTATAAGCTGTCGTATAGAGATTTATCAGTTTGATATTTTTTCGATTTTTGTTTTTTAGTTTCGCCCATATCATTGCGATACATATACATATATCATTGGCGAATTGATTCGTGTGTTGGTACGTAAAAAATATAAATGCAAATTGTAACGTAATATAAATAGAGAGAAAGAGACACGATAAGGAGAACAGAAACAAGTTGTAGAATCGCGTGGACAGTATAAAATGTAAGAAAAAAAATGTATACAAGAATTATATATATATATTAAGAGATAATTTTCAACAGATTTTTGAGGCATAACCTAAAAAGATTTTTTTTTTTTACTTTTATTTTTTTGTTTTGGATTTAAAAATTTTGAAAAATTTTTTCTTTTATTTTGATTTAATAGTAGAAAAATGCGAGAGAAAAACTCAGAGCAGTAGGTTAAAAATTATATTGATTTAGAGCATATGAAACGACTCTGTAGATATATGATGTATGGTGGAATCAATTGGATAAATATGGCACTCACCTCCCAGGATTCGCGGGTGAGATCGCTGATTTCCTCGCCATCCTGGCTGCCGCCATAGCCGCCAGCTTTGGTGGTGCCACTCTTTGTCCATTCGGTATCCTCCTGGATGAGCTCAAAGCCGCGCGCCTTTATCTGCTCTTCGTCCAGCTCACCGTACAGGTGTTTCACCCAGGTGTTTATGAAACGATAGAGCTCATCAACGCTGCAAATGAGAGGGGGGTAGTTACAGCTCAGTTCCACCATGATGAATGCTAATGCTTTGACTTACCGATTTTTGGGCACACTAAACCAATATTCGGCGCGCAGCTTGTTTTTGCCATAGGACATGACCGTGGTGCCCTGCGGTATTGCCTTGCCAATGGGCTTGCCCATGCGCAGGCGGAAATACAAAGGTGGGTCAGAACAGGCGCGTGCTGGACGCGGTATAAGCTCTGCAAGCGAATGGGAATATATTAATGAAATATATATTTGACAATGGATTGTTAATAACTGCACTCACTGTCCACGCTGATAAACAATTCCGGCTTGTCATCCATTGAGACCATGGAGCGATAGTCCAGCTTGGGCGGCAGCGGCTTCGGCTCCTTCAACTTTGTGCTGGACGCTGTGCCCTCCGACGAGTGCGGCCGTATGAAGGTGCCAATGGAGGAGCGCCTATGGAACGAATATCAGATCTGAATATTAGTATTGAGTTTGAGGACTTGAAGAGATTTGATGATCACGACTAGAGTCGAATTTGATGCTTGATAAATTGAGATGATTAGCTGATGAGCAAAAGTGGGAGCTGAAAGTGATGATGAGATATACACAGCTACATCTACAACATCAACAGCAAAGGCAACAACAATTAGAACAACACAGTGCACAGCTGCCGATCCATCCTTACCCATAGGTCATATGACCCTCGGAATGTGTCGAGTGCGGTGTCAATGGCGGCACTGGTGATCCACCAGATTCTTCGGACGGTGTTTTCGAAAATAGATTGCCGCCCAGCTCTGAGACCAGAGTGATGGGCGAGCTGATTTGATTTTGATTTTTTTATAGAGATAAATATGTATACCAAGTGTGTACATAAGTTGTGTGCGTTTGCGTGTGTATATATGTGTATGTGTGTGTGTGGAAAGCATAAGTCGAAAATGTATGTTTGCAAAAGCAGCCGATCCGCATTAACCGAAGGTAAGCATATTTGTTTTTGTTTTTTGAGGAAATAAACAAAATTTGTGGCACCAATTATATATAAGTATATATATATATAGAAGTTAGTAAGTTGCTGTTAGCTGACTTCTCGTTTGCGCACCTTGAGAATACTTTCGAAAATACGCTCTGGTTGGAGTCACCCGTATTGGGGGCCGATTCCGTGTCCGCCGACTTGTTTAAGCTGCCGCCGGGTGCCGGCGATGGACCGCCCTCGCCAGTGAGGCCCTCCACCCAGGTTAAGGGATATGATAGACGCTTGAGCATCTGCAAAGGAAACMAAATATATATATTTATAATTATTATTCATATATATTTTCGTTATGCGTTTACCTTGTTCTTTTTGTCTGCCTGCTTGTCGCTGCTCAAGGCAGCTGCCGTTGCCGCCGCTGCCTGTGCCGCCTCGTCGTCCACGCTGAAGCTGACGCTGGAGGTCTTCTTGCGTGCACCGCCGCCGGCAGCGTCGAGGCTTTGGCCAAAAATGGTGCTGCGCGGCGGCGACTCGCTGAAGTGTGTGGGCAAAATGTTCTTTGGCGGCACCCAGTCAGAGCTGAGCACGATGTCCGCATCGCTGTATACTGTTTTCTTTGGTATCGGCTGTATTGTGGGTATGGGCTCGCGTATGTCGATGCCTGAGTCGTAGCAGGACTGCTTCGACAGCTGTTCCAGGTGCTCCAAATCGATGCCGGGCAGCACAGCAGCCCCAGCAGGAGCTGGCGCCGCGGCTGCAGCTGCACTAGCACCAGCAGCAGCGGCAGCAGCACCTGTCACGGCCCCCTTGGTGGAGCTGGCCGATGACTGTGGGTCCTGGACCCTAGAGCCGCTGTCGACCGTTAGGTTGGACTCGTTGTCGGCCTCGTCATCCGATGATCTTCGGGAATTAGACAAATAATAGCTGAGTATTTGGCGTATTGGTGCATTAACAGGTAACAGGTGACGGGTACAGTTACATATACGCGTGCGCGTGTGCAGGTATGTGTGTGTATGTGTTGTGTGTGCAGGTGTGTTTTGGTTTTTGTATTGGTGTTGGTGTTCGTGTTTGTTTACGAAGCACAAATGGTATGGGTATGTATTTTATTTTGAGGAAACGTTGCAGTTTACATATATGAAAATAAAAACACAAAAAAGAAGGTTGTACAACAAATTATTAAAATACAATACATATTTCTCAACTCATGTTCATAACTTAACTTAAATTGAGAGTTAGCAAACAAAATAGTTAAGCACATCGAATTCGGAGCAGCTGGTTAAATAATATACATACCGATCTTTGCTGGGAATGGCCCAGTGATGATCTAATAGACTTTTGCGTCGCTCCTCAAGCGTGCTGCGTGTATTTGTCAGGCCCAACGTCTTCTTATCCTCATCGTCATCCTGAGCGTCAGTCTTAGCGCTATCTTTGGCATCCGTTGATGTATCCTATAGCATGACAGGAGTATATTATATGAGTATTGCATTGGAAGCATAAAGTGAATTCACAAGTTCACCTCAACACGTTCGCGCTCAAAGGCCTTGGGAAAGGCGTCGCCATCGCGTCCAGTGCTGGAACAAAGTGATTCCTGATCATCGGTGATCTCCAGCGATCCAATTTCAGCTGCAAATGAAAATGATGTTAATTTTAATTAGCTTTAATTTCAATGTCTTTAGTATTTGATGGAGCTTACCCTCTAAGCGCTGCTTGTTGGCCTCAAGATCTGCCTGCTGCTCGGACAACTCTTTGGAATCTTCCTCAACTAATACTGGTTTGGGATAATAAATTTCGGGCTTCTCGGTTTCGCTGCCCGAGGCAGCCGCACTTGGACCGGCTCCACCGGCCACACGCATGTGCGCAATATCGTGAAAGATTGCGGCATTTACCACCAGATCCATGGGCGCTATAACGCCATAGCTCTCGGGGCCATGCTCAATGACCAGCGGATCGCTGACGTTCGGATCGAACATGACGGCATTGCGTGTGACCAAAAGAACGCCACCGACAACGCCTTGCCCGTCGGTAATATGGCGTACATTGATCTTAAGAAAACGTTGGGTAATCACCGGATCATCGCTCTTGTCGGCATTCTCCTCCGCCTGGCTATTGTCGCCGGCATTGCTGCTGTTGCCCACAATGCGCTCAATGTGTCCCGGCTTCGGGGAGCCTGGACGCAGGCCCTCAAGTATATCTGCAAGACAGAATGGATGACTTAATGCAAATATAATAATAACTATAATAAGGCGAATGTTAGACCAGAAGCTATTGCAAAACGCGCAGTTGCCCGATGGGTAGCTGTGATTTTTATCTGACTGATAAGATAAGTGTGCGAAGCCAAAACGGGGCCACATTGATTTATGTGTTATTTAGTTTATATATAAATCTCAATAAATGCGCGACATGTGATATTCAGCAGACCGCAACGCAGGAACGAAATGCGAATTTTGCATTTGTCAGCCGCCTGCCAAACCATAATTAGCACATCGCTTCGCATAATAAAAGATCGCACAAAGGCCCAAATATATGAATGTATATGAGAGTCCGTCAATAACCTCCGTTTCGCCAAAAGACAGCCGTGTGCATGCTGATGTATGTTTGTTTGTATAGATGACGTCTACTCTGGAGTGGAGTCGAGTGGAGTGGGATGGGGGACCTTCCGTGCACTTAACAACACTTGCTATCCAATTGGGTGAACGTGCGTGGCCCAAGTGGTAAGAAAGTCTTTTTGGCTTTTATTTTATCTATTCGCCTGTCGTTTAGGCCACACAAACAAACAAATCCAACAGCGTAAACTGTCACGAACACACGACACAGTTAGGGCTGCACAGCTCCAACAGCTGTTCAGCCAGGGCTGCAGCGCAGTTTTCAATCGTTGCCAAACACTGTTGTCGCACTGTTGCCCACTGCGCGGCAGCATTGCCAGCTCATTCAAATGTTAATCATTTTTAAATTCAATTTTCTGTTATTTCTCTTCTCTTCTTTTTCGTTGTTGTTGTTGTTGTTAGCATGCGAAATGCAGTTAAGCGGAATGAGAAATAAATAAATTTATGCATGGTTTATGGTATAAGCAAAATTAGAATAACTTGCAAAAATTAGCTTCAATATCATCGCACCAATTGCACCATTTCCAGCAGCGTCGCTTACCTTTCTCCTGCTTGCTCTCATCGCTCGACAATTTGCGTTCAATTGGACTCGATTTGCCGGAGACACTGGCACCGCCTGCGCCCTCAATGGTGCCCGTGGAACTGGTGGAGGCGTCATCTTTGGCTGTCTTATCGGGCACCAGCAGCTGCTGGCCGGGATATATGAACGAGCTGTTCAATCGGTTCAAGTGCGTTAGCTCCGATGGTGTCGTATCGAAGCGGGCCGCCACCGAGGTCAGGGTATCGCGATTTCCCACAGTATAGGAAATGGTGGGTATGGTGGGCAATGAAGACTTTTGCCCTGCGAAAAAGAAAACAGTTGCTGTTAATTAACACGATACCAACAAAGAATGATGGAATGAAAACAATTGACAAAAAAAAAATGGCTTTTAATGCATTTTAGCGTTGATTTTTGTTACTTTGAGGCGATCTTCGAGGCTTTGGTAGCTGATCAAATATCACAAATTCCTCCTCGCTGGGACGCAGGCGTGAAAATATTGCGGCCGTTTCGATGGCATCCTGAGCCAACGGGGAAAACTGACGGCACAAGTAGATCACAATAAACTCGTTGGCAGCCAATGGCTGAGTTGATTTATTCACATTGATATTGGAACGCCAATATATCTCAACGAATTCCAACATTTTTTAACTGTTTTTATAATTTTAATTTGTATTTTTATTAATTATTGTAGCGTCTCCTATTCAAGTGTTTGCTTTTTGGCATCACTCTGGCATTAGCGTTTATTGCGCGTCCTTTGCTTCTTTCGCTTTTGTTACTTCTTCGTCACAGCCTGCTGCTGCTTACAATTGCAACAACAACAGCAACCGCAACAGCGACAGCAACAGTAGCAGCGGCGTCGACATCTTCGCTGATTGCAGTAGCGGCCGTCAAAACTTTTCGCTGTAATCAGCAGTTTTCCGTTTAGGAGAAGCAACGACAAAATGAATTGCCAGCGTCTTCCAGTGTGAACTTAGCAAACGTTTTTAATTCTGCATACATACATACATACAAATGTACCTATGCATATACATACATATGCTGWTATTTATATGATTATTATGTACAAATTAGATAACTGTTTGAGCGGTTTTTTTGTTATCGATCGGCCATGGCTTTAGAATTTTGTGTGAGTCAGTAATTGCTGATAGATACCGTTAATAGTTTTGATTAAATAATAAATGTTCAAAAGTGATCGATTTAGTATTGTGTTTGTCTGTTTCCTTTTGTTTGCTCCAAACAATAAATATTTTTGGTTTATTATTTTTCCATAAATTGTAAACTTAATCGCAGCTCGAAATGAACAATAATTCGCTTATTTTATTGCCAGCCAAAATATGAGTACATAATAATAACACAGTTTGTAGTAATGTAAGAACCGTTATCCCCTAAAAACAACAAATGTAACACAACACTTGCCTCTGTTGCTGTTAACAGAGAAATACAAATATAACTACAGGCTCTGAGACAGAGAGATTTGTTAACATTTTCGCGCGCTGTTAGCTAACGTAAGCTTTTGCCAATGTGCTGCCAACTTCGCGCGTTCACTTACTTTGCGGCCAACAACATAGATGGCGCTAGTGTGGGGGAGCGCGCGCTTTTCAAATTTTGGAAATTGTTTAATAATACATTATTATTTATACTTACTTGAAAGTTTGTCAACGCTCTCGAAACGCTGCTCAACTTTGGAACGCAACGAATCCAAATCAAAGGGCGCTGCAAGGCCATGATCCACACTGCGCGATTTGCTCCTGTAATAATAATAGAAGAAAGAAAAACAAAAACACGCGACAAAGCACGAATCGATTGTTAAATTAATTGGCAACAATATAAAGCGATAGCAACTTGTTCGCTGCGATCTTTATCACTTACAAATTTTTCCAGCTTAAATTGTGGCCATAACCAGCTAATAACAATTTATTTATGTGTTCACTTGTGTTGTTTTTTTTTTTTAATATTGTATTTTTGTTTTGCTTTTTAATCTGGCAATAAAAAAAAAAAAGTGGAACTGACCTAAAATGGACAACGACGCATTTGAAATTGTTTTCGCAAATGTTTTTGGCTTGCTGTAACCTTTACATGCGATTTCAGGGTTGAGCATGGAATTCCATGAAATAAAATACAAAATCGTAAAGCCTAGCAGGCCCTGTCTATGTGTATGGATGTTTTGCTGTCCAGATTAAGTTCAACCGGAGGCAGGCTTATATTCTAGAGCTGCTTGCTATTGTCGGAACAATTATGGAGGAATATACACGTGAGCCGTGCCCATTTCGCATCGTGGAGGATTGTGGCGGCGCCTTCACCATGGGCGCTGTGGGCGGCGCCATATTTCAGGCCATCAAAGGATTTCGCAATGCGCCCAGCGGTCTGCCGCGTCGCCTCGCTGGCGGCTTAGCCGCAATGCGTTCCCGTTCGGCTCTAGTGGGTGGCAGCTTTGCCGTCTGGGGCGGCACATTCAGTGCCATCGACTGCAGCCTGGTCTATGCGCGCGGCAAGGAGGATCCATGGAATTCTATAATAAGCGGCGCAGCAACTGGCGGCGTTCTAGCGGCACGTGGCGGTAAGTTTTGTATATATGTAAATTTAATAATGTACATTTAATATCATCTCTCGTCCATTGAAATTTGTAGGCCTTACAGCCATGCTAAGCAGCGCCTTGGTGGGCGGGGTGCTGTTGGCTTTGATCGAGGGCGCTGGCATTGCCATGTCGCACTATACGGCCGATAACTATCGCCAGATATCGGTGCTGGAGCGCATGCAGCATTACAATGAACGTCAACTGCGTCAGCAGCAACAGCAGCAGCAGCAGCTATCCAGCTTCTATGCGGATCCAAACGAGGCGAGCTTAATTAAATGCATTCCATTTATTATTTCGTCTCGTCTCACTTTAAAATTTTTTTGTTTTCCTTTTTTATTTTTTACAGGGCAACTCGATGCCGGCTTAGAAAATCCGCCTCATCATCGATCTATAGGCAGCACGACCATCGAATATAAATGTTGAAAATCAGATTTTGTGTCTTGTGAAGTCATTGGAGGGGGCCCAGGGGCGGCGTCTGGCAAATGCCTCGAAATTGAATTCAAACACAATTGCAAACACATTCAATTTCATTAAAATTCATTTGCCGTGCATTTCGAGTTTTATTCACTCTTTTTTTATTTTTTTTTATTTATTTATTTAGAATATTCTTAACTTTTTTTGATGACGACGTAGATATGTTATATTTGTATTGGGGCGTGCGTGTGTGCTTCCTAGCGCCATGTTTGTAGTTAGCCTTATACAGTCGGCATGTGGCTAACTTTGGACTGCCGCCTCGATTTTTAATAGTTCCTACATACATATACATATAGGTATATATGCGCATACAAATATAATGATATCATTTGTAAGAGTTATCAATATTTCAAACTATTTATCTTTGAGAAGCTCAATTTCGACAGTTTTCTGTCAGCGCTTGGAAAGCTTGATTGGAGAGGATTTGAGTGTCCTCTAGGCGAAGGAATGACTGACTAACAAATACCCTGTGTTGATTTATTCCTTTTATATTTCTATGTAAACCTATATTTTGACAGTTTTCCAGCACAGTGATTGACCAAGAGATATACTAAACTGGAGTTTTAGCTCACAGACTTTTCCATTTAAACTTCATAAACTTGAGGGGAATAAAAAGGAAATAAAATTAAAAAAATTCAAATATTAAGAATTTATAATTGCAACTTCTCTAGCGAACTCATTCTTCCTGAAACGCAGAGTTCTATTAATCTGACAGTTGCAAACCAATGCATTGCCAATATAGCCCGTTATAAGCCCTACAATGGTTACAGGGCATCAGAAATGTAATTTCCGTCTGCGCGCACTGTCATCCGTTAAGGAAAAAGCCGATTTTCATTTGATTTTCGACACAAGAAATTGAATAGCTGATTGACAGGCAGAAGAACTGCCAATAAGCACTATATACACATATATAGATAGATATCTTCTTAAATTGAGCACATTCATAACTCTGTTTCATTATTTGGTTCTCTTTTGTTAAATTGATTAAAAATAAAACCAAATGGAAATTAATTTGCGCATGTCTCCGCAAACTGTGATAAACGTAATTGAATATCAATGATAAAACGATATCTATATATGAAGATATATGTGCATATATATGTATATAAATGTATTTATATATTCATACAATTCTAGCATTTATATGCGTAAGGGCAGCTGAGAGAGCTTATTGTTTGTTGATAAACAGAAATGTATTATTTGTTTTATGTATTATTATTTATCGCAATTTCTGCTATTTTGCATGTTTCAATTTTTAATTAAATTGCGCAGCTGAATTATTTCACAAATCAAATAAACTGCGCCCATTTAGTTTGCTCGCATAATAACTGTATCTACATATACAATATATAAGTATATAGAATCGCGTAGCCAAGTGTTGGACTAGAGTTCGATTGTATATACGAGCTCTATTAAGAATTTAATATAGGGCTAACATTTTTATTTTTTTGATACTATCTAACACTAACATTATATTAGCATTTTTCGCATATTTTTTTTTCTAACTGAGATTATCATAGTAAATAAAGATGGATATAAGTAAAAAAGAAATGACAAAAAAATTGTAGCAAATTTTCAGTAAATTCCACAGATTTTTAATTTTCAATTTCAAAAAGGGTTCGTGAGCTAGACATACAATTTTGAAAAGTCGCAATTGTATTTTTTCATAAGACACATTTATGCTCTTATCTTACAGAATCTCATCTCTTCCACATAAATAATCACATCAGTAAAAGTCTAATCTTAATGAATATCTAAAAAGATGTAGACAGATGTTTCGTGTTTACGGGTTTACCTTGTTAAAGACCTTTCAAAGAGTATAGTCTCATTTTGGCTTACTAAAGATTTGCTGGCATGTGTGTTTATTTTTTATAGGTCTCCTATGTATTGTTATTATTTCTTAAGTTGAGGGCGAGCTAGGAATTTCATTTGCACAGTTGTTTCAATTCCAGCTAAAATACGATCACATGATTAAATACCTTTTATATTTATCATTAATATTTGTTATTAAATAAACTTCTGAGTGAGTACAGTAAACATATTTTTTATGGCACGCCATAAGCATGGAATACGTTTCTTATTTGAAGCTTGTTCTGTATACAAATTGGCCAATAGAATTTTTAGAATAAATTCAAGACATTGAGAATATTCTTAACAATATCTTATCAATGATTACTTATGATATTTTAAAACAGAAAGCAGGTAGCAGCATAGCTGGCTTAAAGCGTTTTGACTTTGATAATGACAAGTGCCAATGAAGGTTGAATCCAGCTCTTGCCACATTGACACCATTCGAGCAGTACGCACCACCCAACCACCGCTGAACCACTCTCCCATCGATCTAGCCAACAGCCACTGCGGACAGCTGACGTATGTCAACAACTGTCATCAGCACTTCAAAAAGACAACATTATTCTGTTTGCCTACATACAAATGACACATATTGAAATCTATATATAAGTATGTGCGTATATATTGTATATATTATATGATCTGATATGATAAAACTGATACAATTATCAATAGTTATCGCTGTGCCATTGAGGGTTCAAGAACTTCAAACTTCTGTATGAAAAAAAAAAAAAATGATTTATATTATAATATATTCAATATTTCTTTTTCATCAAAAAGTTTTTATAGACAATCTAAATTGAATAGACATCCGAGGATATATATATATATACTTTTAACTCTTTTCCTATCTGCTCATTCGTATTTATCTGTAACTCTAACCCTAGCCTATATACATGTTCATTTCGTGTATAAATTTTCTTGTCAATTCTCAATTTACATATCATAGAAGAGACGAAAAATAGATTTTCTAGTTAGATTATTAAAAAGCTCTGTCTCGCTCTATCCAAAATATTCAAAGATAGAGATATTTATATAGATCTATATCTGAATAAATTGGGATTATTTATGATTTGTGCCTGAATCGTATTTAATGGATCCACATTTATTTTTATAGACTAATTAGATAGTTTATTGACGCAACTGTTTTTCTTTAGCTTGCGTTTATTACGAAACAATAAAATTGTCGTTGAAGCATTTGGACAATTTGCTTAATTAAGTTGCTTTGTGAATAGACTTATTAAAGAAGTATGTTTATCATATCTTCTACCTGAAAATTTCCTCAGATTCTTAATCTTTATAGACAAAAACTGCATACACTAAAAAAAAAAAATTAGAAATATAATTATTTTACTCAATCAATGCTAAAAACAGCTACTCCACTTGTCTTAGTCATAAGCTACATACAGATATTATATATCTTAGCAATTTGTTTATTATTCTTTTTTTTAATTCCAGTTTTTTTTTCAAATAAAATATCATATCATATAACATTAATCTGAAAATAAGTCAACTACGCACTGATAAAATTGTTTAAAAAACAAGCCCAAATTTTTGTCAACACACATACATAGACATATATGTGTATAGATATATGTGTATCTTTATATTTGTATGCAAATCATGTAGAAAAACTCGAGACAGTTCTGATTGATGTGACGCACTTGGTTGAAGAGCCTACCTATCAAGATATTTGCTCTTTAATCTAATCTCTGCTAATCTGTCCACAGAACAAAAGTTTTCTTATTGTTTACTCAGCAACAAATTTAATTTTTATACTTTTAATCATATTAATATGAGGTGCTTAACAAACTTTGCGACTCTTATAAATAATAGAGAACAACATTTCGGTTCTACGGAAGACTAGATCTATCAAGATAATTTCGTAATCTATAAATAATCATAAATCGATACGAATTTCGCGCTTTGTTCCTTCTATTATATTATTTATGCGATCTTTATGAATTCGTTGTAAATTGATTCAAATTGAATTTACGGCTTGGTTATGGACACAATTTAAGCTGGAAAAAACTGTTATATAAATGAAAAGAAAGAGTATATAGTATATGATATAAAAGGCAAATCGTTATGCATATGCATGCCTTAACTAATTATTTACATGCATGCAGATATATGTACATGGAAGCGGTTGCATGCAACATGCTAAACATGCCGTTAAAAATGAGACAGGTGTTAGCTATTTGTACACGATGCTTTTATATCTGTGTGCGTGGGTGTACGTGTGTGTGTGTGTGTGGGTGTGAGAGTGTTATAAGTTACAGTTTGTGTTAGCAATAATTAGCTGAACTTACCTGCGCACGGGTATCGCCAAATTGTCAACGCTGCGCGACAAACTGGAAACATCTTGACTAGCCCTACGTGACCTGGCACGTTTGTTAAATATAATTTGTAAGGAGCAAACGAAATGGTGCCAAAAATTAAACGAGAAAATCATAAACAAAATCAATACACAAACAAACAAAAAGAAGTTAAAACAATATGACAATAAAAAGAAAACTGTTCAAATATTCAAATATATTCACATCTATATAGGTATGTATATCCGTACATACTATATACATGCTATATATATATATGTCGGTATCTCATAAAATGTATTTTGTTTAACAAACGCCAATTCCAAAATTCACACGTAACGTCCTACCCAACCCTAACTACTCCCGATCATTGTCTGATATTTATTGCTGCTCACATTATGCCCACATCCCCAGGTGTTCGTGGAGCACGTGGCGATAATGAAGGCACGCGCTCTACTGCAGCTTTATTACTCTATAATAGTCACGTTTTGAAGCGGGGGTCTATATTCACATAGCACTATTTAGTTGAGTGTTATATTAGCATTTTTCAACTGAGATATTTTCAGGGACATATATCCAAATATTCTTCTGTCTTCTGCTTTTTGAATTAGTTATTTTTCGCTTCTTCTATATTTCTTCTTTTCTGTCTTTTTATTTTATTTTATCTCTTATCTTTTACTTAACATTTTTCCTTCATCTCGTTTCTCTGCTTTCACTCCTCTTCTTCTTGAAGCATATATCCCATTTTGACAGTTTTCTTTTTCTATTCTTTCATCCATTGCTCTGCTTCTTCGATTTCCTTTCGATTCTCATTTTTTTTGTTCGTCTCTACTCCATATATATTTTTGAGTTTTCTCTTTCCTCTCTTGTTTCATTTTTCGCGCTTTTCTCATATTTTTTCTTTTCATCTTCCACCTAATGTCATCTCATATCATTTTATCTATATTTTCAGTTCGTTACTCTTTTCTTCATTTCTATTTTCTTCTATTTTGATTCTTTCTATATTCTCTATTATTCGGTCTAATTTTTAGTTCTATTGAAATATTTCATATAATCCATATATAGCAAATTTCGAGTGGTCAAAACTATGCAGAATATTCCATTAGAGCACGTTTAATAATAAATCATACGCTTCCAATAATTTGATCAAACCTAACCACTCGGAGTGCATGATAAAGCTACAATTATCTTTATAATACCTTATAAACGAAAGTAATCAAAATATAGCTTGAAATGTTTGGGGACATATCAAATCAATCAATTCTTGGAATCTAATATATTACTTTAAATAAAACAAAAATATCGCTAGAGTTTTGGGAACACGCGTTTAATGTCGAAATATGAATAAAAACCAGACAGCTCAATAAATTTTATATGCAAGACCCAAATGAATTGGTTTTTTGTTTTGTTTATATGTGCACAGTCATAAATTTAAATTTACAATTGATTAACACATTTTACAATCAATTAGCGAGAGCACTTTTCCCAGTTTCCAAAAATATATAGCCATACGTAACAAATACATACATATATATATTTATAACAACTGGACTTAATGACAGTAAGTCTTGAGTGATCTTGTTTTTCATTTTTGTTAAATGGATACAATTGGTATTTAACACTCTTCAGCTAAGTAAATAACAACAAGAGAATCAAAGAGGAGAGCAACAGAACAAGAGAGAGAGAGAGAGCGAGCGAGGGAGATAGAGATGCATAACTGACCTTTGACGGAGCAAACAAAGCATGATTCGGCAGTGGAAAAGAGAGGGCAAGTAGGGCTCTCCGCTGTTTGATCAAATATGCTGCGTACGTGCCTCGAGGCATGCTCTCAAGAAGCTGAGACGATGTCTTATTAAGCCTTTGTGTCATTTGTATATAAGACTCGACAAAGAAGCTGAAGAGGAAGCAGGTATTTATGTCCCAGCTGAATTTTTCCCCAACAATATTTACTCATACACATATACATTTATATAGCTTAAAGCTAAGCTCATTTTAATCATTAGTCTTACCAGTATTGCGGTGCTGTAATCATTACGTGTTGCATATTTAATTAATTTCAATTAATAAATATTCCTCAAACATTTCTCAGTCACACTAAAAAGCAAAAACAACATCCAATGAAAATAATTCAAATATTTCAGCTTCCATTCAATTTTAAACGGAAATGCCTGTATATTTTGCTAAGATTCAACTTTGTGCATATTTAAGTTATATATATATATAGTATTATAAAATATATGGTCATCAATCATACGCACTGTCAGCCAGCTTAGAACCAGCAGCAGCAGCAGCTAAGGCAGATGCCGACAGATGAATTGTAAAAACGGGCCGTAAAATACCAAAATATTGTTGTACGACATATTCTGGCGACATTTTGTTGACTTTAATGACTCAATTTCGCTCACAGTGTTTTATTTGCTGGCCATATTGATTACGAAATTAATTAGCTTGTCAAATGTGCACGAAACGAGCGAATAACCAATTAATAACCAGCCCCACAGTCGCAAAACCTCTCATATCAGTTACCAACTGCAGCGGCTTTTCTCAGCGAAAACAAATCACGTGCTACACGACAGACACTGATAACAGCAGCAGCAGCAGCAAGAGCAGTCAGCAAACAACTCTACGCATTCAGCAGCCCGCAGATGAAGTCAGCAGACAAAGTTAGCCGATGTCAACAGAAGCTGTTGGTAATTGAAGTCGACAGTCAACAATCAGGGTCAACAATAGAAGCCAGCTTTCAGCAGTTAGCAAAAGCATTTAGAGGTCAACAGTCAGTCGTGCTAGATGTCAGCTGCAGAAGTTAGCTGTAGAAATCAACAGCAGAAACTGGTAGCTGAAGCCAGCAGTCAGTTTATGCTGACTAAACGTTAAGTAAGCAGTCAGCAGTAGAGGTGACCAGTGGAAGTCAGCTGTGAAAGCAGGCAGCCAGGAGCTGATTTCTGCAAGCAGTTAAAATTATCACTAAAAATCAGCTGTGTAGGCGAGCAGTCAGCTGATAAAGCAGTCGATGGATGTGGAAGAAGCTACAGCAGTAGAACTAAATATTAAATATTTACTATTTGAACTGTATTAGATTTTTATTTTGGTATTGCTGTAGCACAAGAGAACATCGAGTATATCAAAAAAATCACAGAAGGGCTGGAGCAGGGCTTAACAAAGTATGTAACATTTAAAAGTGGACATTGAAAAGCGTTAAAGTCCATTAAAGTCCAATCTAAAAGACTAAGCTAAAACGATGTAGTTTTTGTTGCAAATTCCCATTACATAAATCTAAGCCATATATCGAAAAAGTAGTAAATATTATAGCATTTATAAGTCTAATGTAATACAAATACAAGTCGACTGACAAATGGCATATTCCTTTTTTATTTTATATATAAATATTATGCATATATTATTTACCGAGCAGTTTTACTATGATATCATAGCATTAAAAATTCCTTCTTTGAGTGTATTTAAAATTTTTGCTAGCTTCTTGCTTATTTTATACCTTTCTGATAACTAAAATAAGTATCTTAATTTTTTCATGTCTCTCGTTTTGTTTCTTTTGTTGTTTTTGTTTTTATTATTATTTTTTTGTTTTTTTCTTTTTTATAATTAGAAATTTCCTTAATGCCGCATTCTTATCTGCTTGTTGTTTTTAGAGAGCCGCATTGTTGTTGCCAACCTGTTTGTGGCAGCCAGATTACAAGCGAGTTGAAAGGGTTAATTAAATGTGAGACTCAGAATGTCACCTTTTTAAAAAAGGTTGTTAAAGTGCTGAGGAGGTACGGAGGTAGGAGTAAGGGGGCTGGCAACAGCTAATGATGCATTCTGACATCCGCTTTTTAGATGCTCGGTTTTAGCCCGTATTACATCATAGTTAAATACATTTTATTAAAGATATTTTCCGCATATCCAATTTATGCCTTTCACATTTGCGCTAAAGCCCTACAAGGTCATATATTGATTTCTCTGTTTCTCCCTCTCACCCATTCGGGTTTCTCTTCATGTTTATCATAAATCAACTTGCACTTGAAAGTAATCTCCTGACAACAACAATAACAATAACAAAACAATTTAGGTTAAGGCTAAAGTTTCAGCATTTTTGTTTTCTTTTATTGTTTTTTTTTTTTTTTTATATTGTTGTTTTACTTTTTTTCATTTTTTTTTGTTTGCAGAGAAAGCAAATACCCTACCGTTATCATTTCTTTTCTTCTCGCCTATGAAATTAATCAGAGAATATTTGGATTTTCCTAATGGAACCTACAAATTTAAAATATATATTCCCTTCAAATTTCATTTTTTTTTTGCTTGTCAAATCGGTATTATATATCTTCCAGCGTAAATGGCACAATTGAAGCTAGGTCTTTAAATTGTTCAGTATTTATTACCCTGATAAAATGAACTACGTAAGATACCTTATCAGCTTAGGTTTTACAACAACTGCCTAAATTTGGTAGGTGAATTACTGTAGTGCTGCTACATATTGTTGGACCCACTTCTCATTCGATATTTCTTTCTCGTAGTAGCATATTCAATCGTATATTATTTATAATACGATTGAAGATTTGTATTTACATTTTAATTAAGTCAAAAGCGAGTATTTTGCAGTCAGTTAGACCCACGTCAACGTTCTATTTGCTTTACTTTTAGCATAGAATTTCTTCTTTTCGCCATGGGAAGTTATTTTGGCCCTTTGTAAGTACTTTGAAATGCCAGCTGCTCAGTGATTGTATAAGAAAAGTGTTAAAAAGAAAAATGATAGCTTTTAATAATAATAATTGAATGGATTTGTTTATCAAAAGATTTGTATAATATTTCATTGTTGCTGTATGAGAAATTTTAAAGAAATTCTGTTTATGCAAAGCCGGTGCAAAATACCGGTTCAAAGAAAATATAGCAGCAGAGAGTAGGAGAGAGAGAGAGAGAGAGAGAGAGAGAGAGAGAGAGAGAGAGAGAGAGAGCAGTTATGTGCTACTAGAATACCCCAATGAACTGGAATAATAGAATATATTTTTGTAGGTAGAGCTTTATCAGGTGAGGATAGTCTTTGACTCTTCAAGTTCTGGAGTTAGATATTG